CATCCGGGACTCGTTCTGTTGTCGGCGTCTCTACCTCTAGCACCTGAGGAGTATACAGACATGACCGGATGATAACCAGAGCATCTCCATTCATTGGTATGAGTCACTCCCCCGCATCTCACCTCGCCCTCTTGGGCGGCCTGGGATCTGATGCGCTCGACGTGCTGAGCTATGCGGCGCCATATTGGTGTCCCCACTTCCTTCAACGGCATCTCCGCAATGCCGTGTTCATCATAGCCATCATACTCACTGAGCATCTTCGCCTCAGTAATATATTCCTGAGCGCAAAAGCCCGAATGATCAGTGTTGGAATATATATTCGCTTTCCTCAGCTGAGCTCAGGAGTTTCCTCACTAATTGTAGAGGGTTCCGTATGAATTCGGCTGGAAGTGCACTAAGCATTTTCCAAAAATTTCCTCAGAATTTGGATATTAAACCACAAGCATATGTAGTTGACCATGAACATATTCCCCCCCTGTCGAGCTCACCCTGTCGAACTCCAAGCTGTATATCTCAATTGGATACTCGGTGGGATTGTGAAGAACCATCTCCTGGCGACAAGGCGGATCGCTCTGGTAGGGCAAGATGGGACCAAGCTGGAAGAAGGATGAAGGCGTAACGTTGACCTGACCAAGAGAACTCCGCGGAGGTCCCAAGTAAAGATCGTCACTTCCAGAGCACTCCCAAAGCCGCATAGATATATGACAACCGGGTGCTTATTGTCCTTAATGCGTAATGCTAACTTCTCCTCGAAGGCTCCCACTGCATTGGGCGTGAAACATATCTGAGACACGGCTGCTGGACACCCGCAGAATAGAAACTCCTAGTTCAACGCTGTTAGCGAACTAATCGTGATTAACAGTGTTATCCACAGTGTTGACGACCAACAACTACCACAGGAAACGTATGAGATATTTATCAGAAGACTCACCCGATCCTACTCTCAGTCAACAAATATCGTTCCCCACGCTACTCAGTGAGCGGTACTACGAGTAGGAGTACTCTGTGAGTAGTACTCACAGAGGCCAATAACACCGATCGAACGAGTGTTAGACTATCGGTCGTAGGACTGATGTACGAACCAGCGGACCTCTTACTTCCACAATAGAGTCTTGGCCAGGTTCAAGTACCCCGAAGGTCTGAGTCATCCCGAAGGGGAGCTTCCATGGCAGAGGAGGAGTGCCAGACTTCGGCGGCACTCGGTACGACCACTCGACTGGAACATGCTTGTCATTGACCAGTCGCAGGTAGCGCCTGAGATACGTACCGAACCATCTCGACATTTTCATTGTCGCTGCTGATACAGCGACAGAGGCCCACTGAGAAGCTCACTTCGCCCGCTGCCCGACAACGACTTTTCCAAAGTCAACTCTGCTGACAGGTAGTGTAAGCTGTGGGACCTCGTGGCGAGCTTTGATATGAATAGCATAACTGATGACAAAATTAGAGCTTTACCGACCCGACCGGATCGGAGACTAGATAACCTCATACCTCGGTCCGTCCCGTATAGGCAGCTTCCACAGCAGTTCCCTCGTACCCTCCTCAGCTTCCTTGGGCAACTCTGCTATAATCGCCATACTCAAAGTCCCTCCTGATGCAATGCTTCCAACCTGGCAAGGGTATCAACAAGGCATTCAAGACACAGAGGTAGAAAGTTCTCACGGGTTCCGGGGTGACGAAGAAGCCCGCGTCCATGAGCTCCTTTCGGTTGATAGACAACAAGACTTCAGAAGTATGACAGTTATATACCGTAAAAGGCTGCCGACGACTATGACCCAAGACAATATCGCCAAAGTCACAAACATAACTCCCAGCCACAGTCTGCCCAGTTAACTGAATCGATCGTGCTCAAAGAGGTGCCTTTAACTGCGGTTACCACCTCTCGAGTCCTCTTGCGACTGATTGGAGCCACAGACGTCGACTCGCCCTGTGCAGTCTCGAGAACTATCAAGGCGTCACGAAGGCTTCTTCTGTCCACTTCGACTGCGCACCTGTCAAGAATTCGGACATAGTGAACAGCAAGGACTCCCATGGAGCTCACTTCAGCGCATGGTGACTCAACGGCACTACTGTATGCGGCGGTGCGCTGACCGTCCCATGAGACGGTCCCTTACGGCTCATAGTAGAGGAGGCCACCGTGGGCGCAACTGGTTTGTTCTTTTGGGCCGCTGCAGAGCTTCTCAGATTCGCCAATTCGGACGTATTAGATATCATAGCACTTTCAGAGGTCGCGAAACTTGTCCAACGCGAAGGCCCCTTGGATGGTGTAGCCGTCAGAGGAACCTAGATGATCCCAGAAGTGGCTAGACTTCGCCAAACTGGCTGCTTCAAAATCTTACGTCCACTGAGATCTCCTCTGCGATGTCCGTCATTTTCCTCGCATGCTCCTCCGCGTTGGATCGCGGCAAATTCAACACCACAGCTGGGTACACCCCGCGGCCTCGAATGGTCACAGTCACCGCAGGTAAATGCGATACTCGTATCAAAAAAGCCTCAGAGATTTCCGAAGGAACGCCTACCGAACAGAACCACCCAGATTCACAAGACTGCCACTGAAGATTGCGCTGGTCTAGAAGTTAGCATATTGAAAATCAGTGTTTCACCGCAACGGTAGAAATCAACCACACGAATCGATTCTGTGTTTCAACATGAATCAGCTCGGAAGCAGCATCATCTTGACTCACCCGGCAAGAACTTAATTTTCAATGCAGCTTTGCCATCGCCACAGATCTTCCCTGTCTCGGGAGTTACCACTAGCACCCTCCTCCCCATACCTCCTAGATCTACGCTGTAGAATACAGGCACGCAGCCCTTGTTAAATATCATCAGCTCTTGCTCGGCGAAGTCGTCGAACTGAACATCACCGAATTCGAGATGAGTTCTATCAATGCGATAAGCAAGATCAGAGGCTTGCCCTCGAAGCTTGATATCGTAGCTCGGACCACCCACAACGTTGCACCTGATGATGCACTCTCGCCAACAGTCACTCTTGCCAACATACCTCGCAACAGCCTCGCAGCGCCGATCAGGGATCGCGTTAAAGCGGAAGTATACTGTCTCAGTGGCATCGGCCAAGATGGACCCAGCGATCGGCTGAATGTCGAACTCTTCGTTAGGGGCTACCCTCACGAGCTGAAGTAAGATGGCAGCATCACATGGAGCCGAGCAATGCTAACCCCACCTCATCAGTGGACTTGGCCGAGTCCTCCACTATGATGAATTCCCAGCTGTACTCGCAGGGCACCTCCGTCGTGTTGGTCACCTACATACCAAAACTTATCGCAACACTCCTCCTCTTGAGATGAGCGATCCTACTCGGACCGCCACCTCGGTCACTGCGTGGTTGAACACAGCTCCAAAATCAATATCGGCTTTATCGAATGACAAGTTAGGGAATACGACCTCTCCCACCGCCTCGACCTGATCGTTCTGAGGGTGGTCCCGGTATGTTATCTGCCATCACGTGCGCTAACTCTGACAACCACAGACCTACTGATAGCTTCTGCTTCATCACTGCACTCTGACGATCGACCTTATAGGATGGGTCAAAGTCCACCTCGACTGTCACCGTAGCCTTAGGGTCCAAGCTGACAAATCCTCCCAGATTCGCAGCTCTCTCATTAGAAGGCATCCTGGCAATAACCACTGACGTAGACGACAAGCCTCTGCCCTACTACCTGATGTAGAAAGGCGCCACGGCCTTAACTTGGAAGCTTATAGGTAAAGGAGAGGTGTTGGTCATCGCTAGTGGATGCGTCATCATACTAGTCTCCTTCTCATCTCTACTCCACACGTAACGGAACCGTACAGTGCTTTCCGATACATGTAAAAGCGGAGCGACGAAATTGGTCTGAAAATCACGAGGACCGAGGTAAGTCCCATGACCCCATCGTAAGCTCTGCCCAGCGGCACCTTCAAAGTTGGCTGGTAAATCATCTTCCCTTTCTTGTCATTAGCACCAACACACTCAATGCACTCCGCAACGTCTTCTACGAGGCCCTGCACCGAGCTGCATGCTGTAACGGTAAATCTATATCCGGTATTGCTCGCTAGAGTAGCTGTTCTCGGATAGATCTAAACCAAATCGTAGTCAGCACATAATCATCAGAGTATAGTCGCACCGTATAGGGAACCACCGGTAACTTGGCCTTCCCTAGATCAACCCCATCCTTTATAAGCTGTTTCAATGCCTTCTCTCTTGCCATCTCTCCACGGACCTAGACGCGCGTGATGATAGCAGCGGTATGTGTAGTAGACCTCACCAGCCAAGTCACAGTCCTAGTCTTCCTTCCTGAGTTCTTAAGAACGAGTTCCTTCGTAATAGACTGAGTCGTATACTGAGTGCCAAAATCGATCACACCAAGATCCTCATCGCCAACAATTGTAGTCTCGGTTCCGCGGCACCTGAAAAATCAACGTCGCGCGCCACAAAAATACCAAATTTCCACTTCATGTCAACAGCCAAGTTTTTCCCTTTCTTCAACTACGAAGTACAGGACGTCTTCAAACCTCTGCACCTCATCAGGTCGCACCTAGCATCATACATTCTCAA